CCCCCCCCCCTGTGGTTTATTTTGAACAACTTAAAATTGGCTTACACTAAAACTTATTTTTTTTTCATCATGAAAGTTGTGAAAAAAATAGTAACATTTTTATTTTTGATGCGTGGGGTAGGGTTGAGACTGGAGAATGGTCAAACGGCGGGGGGGTGTAAAAAAAAAACAGAAATGGTTAATAACTTTTTTATTTATTGAGCTGCAGGGCTAAGACATATATATTTTAAAAGGCTTTGAAAAATGGATATAATAACATAGCTCATATGTTAACATTTGTCAAAAGTAAAAATAATTATCTTTGAAAAATTTGTCGGCATACTTTTTGAACTTTTGAAAATCCTCCCTCACAAAGTGTGAGCAAAGAGCTGCATTACATAGATTATAAAAAAAGTGATACAGTGAGAACCAGAAAACCCTGGAATCCGAAAAACGAGACATAGCAATTATTCAGTATAATTACAAACTTGTCAAAATAACGTATATACAAGTAAAACTACTTCCTTTCTAACAACATCTAAAGTATTTCTTTAATGTCATCATCCTGTTTCATAGTTTTCAGGTTCTCACTGTCTATGAATTTATATATAATCGAACGTCTCTGAATAAATAACACCCCCCCCCCTTCCGCAATGGATGGAAATCATGACCCCACACTGCACCCAGTGACCCAGACTTTTTATAAATTTTCTACAAATGTCAAAATAAATCTGCTTGACGAATTCAATCCGCTAAGGTTTATATTACGTGAAATTTGATTAGCATTTTAGAGAAGGATGGAACTCCAAGAGAAAGCAATTGTACAGGGTGTCCAAATAAACATGGGAATTGAGAGGAATTGAAAGTCGTCTTTGATTTCTGATATTTAATGCATGGCAAAACGAAGATGTACGTCTTACGAGCTTTACAAAAAGTAAAAAGTGGTCTGTACCATTTCTTGTGTCTTAAAAATTGTTGAAGATATTAAGACAATTTTGAGTTATTAAATAAATTGAAATTTCTATAAATTTTGCAATATCGACCCCCACCATCACTTTATACACATACATCTAAACAGTTTGTTTTTACCTTTGTGATAGAAACAATCTCAAGGAATAATAATTGTCTTAAAACATTTTTTTTAAGTGAATAATTGCAAATTATCTTTTTTCCATCTCATAATCTGAGTTTGCTTCCCTTATGTTCATTTGACAGCCCAAATTTTTATTTTGAATAATCTTTTTAGTTTCTTTATTTTATTGTGATATTTAACAAAAAATTTCCGATTTTGATGGTTATTATATCGTTAGAACTGACGAGGGTCAACCCAGACCGAAATATATTTTTAATAAATGTGGAACTATCATCTGCTTTTTTACTCTACTGAGGTTTGGTCCATCACCATATTCATCCTCTTCATCCTCTTCATCCTCTTCATCCTCTTCATTCTCTTCATTCTCTTTATCCTCTTCATCCTCTTCATCCTCTTCATCCTCTTCATTCTCTTTATCCTCTTTATCCTCTTCATCCTCTTCATCCTCTTCATCCTCTTTATCCTCTTCATCCTCTTCATCCTCTTCATCCTCTTCATTCTCTTTATCCTCTTCATCCTCTTCATTCTCTTCATCCTCTCCATCCTCTTCATCCTCTTCATTCTCTTTATCCTCTTTATCCTATTTATCCTCTTCATCCTCTTCATCTACTTCATTCCCTTCATCCTCTGCGGCATGTTCATCCGATTCATCCTCTTCATTCTCTTCATGTAGTAAACGTGCACCTACTCCATAACAAGTACTCGAAACAAATCTGTCCAGGTACAATCTGTCCGCTATCAAATTTAACCAGGACTGAATCTCGGGCTCTGAATGCCACAAAGGATTGCCCAGTATCAGGATTGCCCAATATCACTTTCACGTTGCGGGTCCTTAGGAAAAAAAACCCAGCATTGTTCCATCAACTTCTTGAAATCTACCAAGTTTCTCTCCTCTGAAGGATATGCTTCCAACCATTCTTTTAGTATGCTGGTATAATATTTTCCAATATCTTCCCTGACTTCTTACAGTTTCTTCGTCACTGTTCTCGGAAGTATCTTTCCACTCTTCATCCTTTCTTTTCTCTTGATTATAATCATCTTTATCTTTGTCTTCGTAAAGAACTGTATCCAGTTTTAAACAGTCTGGATTCTCTTCAGCCCATTTTAAAACATGTTACCTTAAATTTCTATAGCATTCTGGTTCCTCGTCTCTCCGCAATCATCTGATGTCTGTTCCTCTTTGTCTGCATCTTCACAAAATACTGATTCTTTGCTAACTTTCTGTGTTTCCCCTACATAATCTCTCCTGTTATCTTCTGCTGTCTTAGAACTTTGTGCGTCAATATTTCCTGGTTCACATAATTTTTCTGCTCTCTATTACTTCTGCTCTAAATGCCACACAAGGACACACACTTAGCTATCAACAAGTTTTACTTTGGCACTAATTGCCATGCAGGGACACATGCATAGCTATCATAAAGCTGTTACTTTGTCTCTAAATGCCACACAGGGACACAAGCATGGGCTTTCTATCAAGCCCTTAATAGATCTCTACCCTAAACTAGGTATGATCTCAACCCGAATACTCAGCAGGGTACAATTACTCTACAATGTAATCAAAGAGGAGTTATGATTCTAACTAGCTATATTTAAGGTTTATTTGTTTCAAGTTAAAGTTAATAGACTAATTACAATTTCTAGGTTGTTATCTATATCACATGATTAAGGCAATCATGTTACGTATTACAGCACAGTTGAAATAGGCGCATTTAAGATGTGCATATTTATAGGATTAGCGAGGATAGATATAACGTTGTTAAGCTATCTCCACAAATGTTTATTAGTTGAATGAACATATTAAAAGGATTTAAGCTAACCTTTGGGGTTGGGGGTTTCCCCCTCCTCCTGCTTCTGCCATGTTCATTTCTATTTATTAGCCTAGGGTAAATGATTCCACAGTATCTAGTGTTGCTATTGCTGTCACGTCTTCTAAGATATCTCCTTGTCTTGTTTCTCGCAATTCCGTGTTAAACCAAGTACTAACTTGATTTGTCTTCCTTGGAGGTCTAGGCATTTACATCTAATCTGGGTTCCTTGATTCATACCACTGCCACCAGTTTTGTAGTAAACACCTACTCCATATTTCCGAATTTCAACCAGTACTGAATCCCAGGCTCTAAATGCCACACAGGGACACAAGACTAGCTATATGCCGATCCCAAATTAACAGGGACGATCCAGGGTGATACAAGGTTCAGGGTTTCAGGTTTACTCTTTACACAGTAAACAGTACGGAGATACTCTGCTTAACTAAATTTATTATTCATTATAACACCCTAAAAGTGTGAGACACATTCTTGTAGGTACGTTTTTTTTTATCATTAAATAACGACGACAACAAATGTAACATAAATTTAACAGTAAACTAATTGGTTGCTTAGGAACAGGTTGAGAAGATAAAAATTAACTCTTTTTATAGAAATAAGTAATATTATTCAATTATTAATTTCTATGACCTCTTATTATTCACAAAGATTTTCTCCAGATTTTCTGGAATTTGAATTAAACGACAACATTTGAGGAATTTGTAGAGAATAAGAAATTCAATATAATGATGAATACGAAGTAATTGATTCTATCATAGATAAATATGGCCCTAAACATCTTATTAGTTTACTGTAGAATTGTTACTATATTTTTTGTCGTCGCTATTTAATAGTTTTAAAAAAACGATTTTCGAAACGTATCCACTCAAAAAAATGATTTTGAAATTCGACTTTGCCTTCAAGCTCAGTATGTGTCTCAAATGAATCCTGAAGAATTTCTCTACAATACTGCAATCTCGATCAGTTCAACCACCATACATTGCCGGTCACTCCCTTTAAGCTTAATATATTTTGACAGTTAAAATCCAGTTACTTCAACATTCTGATTTCAATCCAATTTCTGATAAATATTGAACATCTTCTCAATCAAAGTNTAGTTGCGCCTCTGCTCACCTTTTTAGATTATATTTTAAAATTAAATCTAAAATGGATTGAACCTTCTCATTATAAAGAGAAAATTTCTGTCCAAAAACTTTATAACACTGTGAACCAAAATAACAGTGATATCTAAGATCCGAAGGATTTGCAAATGATTGTTCTGTAAATCCTTCGGATCTTAGTAAAATGTTAGTTGAGAAACAAATGAAATATTTTGATGTCCTATTGGACCATGCATGGAAAGTTCCGGTTTTACAAGAACTTTTAAAAACAAGAACGAATAATTTATATGTTGAAGGATTCGATGATTACGTAATAACTGAAATGATAAATATGTTATGTAATGAGTAATGATCAATGTCGTCTATTTGTGCATAATTTTGCATATTTTTCTCTTTTCTTTTGGAAACCTGTATTTTCAAAAATTTATTTAAACAAATTTAAACTACACCATTTATATATGTATTTATATCTTTGTGTGTGAATAAATCTTTATAATAATAAAATAAATATTATTTTATCAATAATATCGTATCTGTATTTAAAATTCTCAAGAGTATCTAGTTGAAGTTTAAATACGATTGAGTTCAATCAGTTCAAAATAGAAAATTGAATTTAAAAGTTTTAAAATTCTTCCGAGTCCACTCTTCTCCGTTCAATTGTTTTAGGTTTTAAAGAAACAACGACGACCATCACATGCCAATACTTCTTCTGACAACCCTATACACCTGCTGACAACCCTATACTCCTGCTGACAACCCTTATACTTCTGCTGACAATCCTATATTTCTGCTGTCAATCCTATAATCCTGCTGACAACCCTATCAACCCTATACTTCTGCTGACAACTCAATTCTTCTGCTGACAACAATATACTCCTGATGACAACCCTATACTTCTGCTGACAACCCCATTCTTCTGCTGACAACCCTATAATTCTGCTGACAACCCAATAATTCTGCTGACAACCCAATTTTTCTGCTGACAACCCTATACTCCTGATGACAACCCAACACTCCGGCTGACAACTCTATACTCCTGCTGAAAACCCTATGCTCCAGCTGAAAACCATATAATCCTGGTGACAACCCTATACTCCTGCTGACAACCCTATGCTCCAGCTTACAACCCTATACTTCTGCTGACAACCCAATCCTTCTGCTGACAACCCTATACTCCTTATGACAACCCAATACTCCGGCTGATGACTCTATACTCCTGATGACAACCCTATGCTCCAGCTGGCAACCATACACTCCTGCTTACAACCCTATATTCCTGCTGACAATCCTAAACTTCTGCTGGAAACCCTAATACTTCGGCTGACAACGCATTACTTCTGCTAACAATTAAATAATTTATGCTGACAACCCTATACTATTGCGAACAACTGTATACTCTTCTGAAAACTCTATACTCCTGCTGAAAACACTACTGTACTACTGCTGACAACCCCATACTCCTGCTGACAGCCTTATACTTCTGCTAACAACCCCATACTCCTACTGACAACCCTATACTCCTGTTGACAACCATCTACTTCTGCTGACAACCCTATACTCCTGCTGACAACCCTATAGCCCTGTTGACAACCCTGTACACATGCTGATGACCCTGTAATAAATGCCTTACTCCAATATTTATTTAAGTTGGTCTCAATCCACACACAATGATATCAAACACTATATACTAAGTATACCCTCTACAGAATCCTGGTAGGTCTAAGTATGTATTTATCCACACATAAAGCTATCAATTTCTATCCTCTCTACCGAACACTGGTAGGTCTAAGTATGTATTTATCCACACACAAAGCTATCAATTTCTATCCTCTCTACCGAACACTGGTAGGTCTAAATGTTTATATCTATCCACACACAAAGCTATCAATTTCTGTCCTCTCTACCGAACACTGGTAGGTCTAAGTGTGTATCTATCCACACACAAAGCTATCAATTTCTATCCTCTCTACCGAACAGTGGTAGGTCTAAGTGTATATCTATCCACACACAAAGCTATCAATTTCCATCCTCTCTACCGAACACTGGTAGGTCTAAGTATATATTTATCGACACACAAAGCTATCAATTTCTATCTTCTCTACCGAACACTGGTAGGTCTAAGTATATATGTATCGACACATAAAGCTATCAATCTCTATCCTCTTTACCGAACACTGGTAGGTCTAAGTATATATTTATCGACACACAAAGCTATAAATCTCTATCCTCTCTACCGAACACTGGTAGGTCTATAAAGTTTATATTTATCGACACACAAATCTTGCAATCTCTAACCTCTCTACCGAACACTGGTAGGTCTAAGTATATATTTATCGACACACAAAGCTATCAATCTCTATCCTCTCTACCGAACACTGGTAGGTCTAAGTGTGTATCTATCCACACACAAAGCTATCAATCTATATCCTCCCTACCGAACACTGGTAGGTCTAAGTATGTCTTTATCGACACACAAAGCTATAAATCTCTATCCTCTTTACCGAAGAATGGTAGGTCTAAGTATGTATTTTTCGAGGCACAAAGCTATCAATCTCTATCCTCTCTACTGAACAATGCTAGGTTTAAGCATGTATTTATCGACGCACAAAGCTCTCATACTCTATACTCTCTTCCGAGCAATGGTATATCTAACTGTCCGTAACCAGAGTCTATATTCAACTAACTTTATTTAAGTATAAAGTACAGATAATACGGTCAGGATGGTGCACTTATGCTTTGGTGTATTTTAACTGAACTTAACTACTCTTACTTACAATTTTTAATGAAGCTACCTGAGCTGGGAACTTTTCTGTAGGATCTCGATATCCATTGTGGGCACTTTTGATTTAAGATCTAGCAAAAAGCTAGACATTTCCATATTTTCATTTTAGTATTCCTCCCCTGAATAAAGCTCCCTTCAATCCTAACAAGATTACCATGCAGGGCCGGGTATCGAATTAAGATTAAATTAATCTGAAGATTAACAAAAGATCGAGATCAAGCATTAATCTAGATATCCACAGAACATAAGTTCCCAGCTCTGATTACAGAGAAAGGCGAGTTTTTTGTTATAAAATTTATATTTCACCATGTTCTTGCATGATCAGAACAGATTTAAGGAATTTAATATATTTAACTGCTAGATCTAACAGTTCTCTTCTGCTCAGCTTATCACGGTCCCTAAATTAGAATATAAGTGGCATTGCATGTATAGTGTGGAATTTTAGATTCACAACGGTACCATTTAAAACTCTGTCTGATCGATAACAATTAAGGGTTCGATATTTATCTCTTTATTTATTATTCCAACTTGCTAAAATCCTTTGCAGAAACAATGGAGGAAATAATCATTATTGAACATTTTTAAAAATAAATAGGATTATTTTCATATTAATGTTAAAGTATCGTTTTTTTTGATATATGGTCACGTGAAAATGGAAGGACAGTTCCATTGATAAAGAAAAAATTCTCATTTTTAAAATTTTTTATGGGGCCGTTTCATCAAGAAAGTTATGATAAACAAATTTCTAAAAAATAAATTCTGATTCAGGACTTTACATTTTTCCAATTTTATTTTAAGTACAACATGAGTATGTACATTTTTTCTGATAGATTTAAAATTTGTTAGCAAATTAAGCAAATTGACAAACATAAAGTTTGAAAACAGTTTACAAAAAAATGTGCAATGTTTTAGAATTGAAAGGCGTAGATTTTTTTTCCCGGGGTGGAACCACAACCATATCTTACTATGGGGGCACATCCCCCATATCCCCCACCCCCTTCACAATTATTATACCTTGAAGTATCCTTGGGATGAATTGGAAGAACATTTTTCAAACTATCAAAAGCCTTTGCTAGCTCATGTGTTCTCATCTTTAAATAAACAAGTTATTTACATTATTGTTTATAATGACACAAACCATATCTTTATTGCATACATTTCAATCAATCAACTAATCAGAGTTTAAGAACATCCTACTAACCACACGTCATGTTCAAGATGAATTACAAAATTGATATATGGGCTGCAAATGTAGCGATAGGTGTTTTAACTAAAAATGAAATTATCATGAATTCAAATATACCTATTGGGTTAATATGTTTGCTATGCATTTAATATTGTTTAATTTAACCCCTTTCACAAGGGAGACCCGATTTTTACAGACCATCTCTTTTCTTAAAAACATATACAATCTCTTTTCTTAAAAACATATACAATCTCTTCTAAAATAAAGGAATTGAGTCTTTTCCAAAAACTTAGATTTTTAAATGTATAGTTTGAAATAACTAAGGTCTACGACATTTGGTTGAAAAGATATAAAGATTAGACAATAAGATTTTGTTGCAAAAACCCATTTCCTCTAAGATTACCTTTATTTTTTATATTTACCATCAGTCTTTTTACCTTCTCTTTTCTAGTTAATTTATCAGAATTCCGTTTGCTTCTCTTAAAATAATTTTTTTTTATTTTACTATTGTTGTCTTGTTGTCTTGTTGTCTTGTTGTCTTGCTGTCTTGTTGTCTTGTTGTCTTGTTGTCTTGTTGTCTTGTTGTCTTGTTGTCTTGTTGCCTTGTTGTCTTGTTGTCTTGTTGTCTTATTGTCTTGTTGTCTTGTTGTCTTGTTGTCTTGTTGTCTTGTTGTCTTGTTGTCTTGTTGTCTTGTTGTCTTGTTGTCTTGTTGTCTTGTTGTCTTGTTGTCTTGTTGTCTTGTTGTCTTGGTTTCCGTTCCTTCTACATCCGCTCCCAATAGTTTTTTTGTATCCCTTTCTTTTGTGTCTTAAAACCTCCGTGTGTTTAAAACCGTTTATATCGCGGGGCCTTTTAACAACCTGACAACCATCCTGAATTCTCAAACCTTGCCGACACCTTCTAAAAATCTGTTTAAATGAGCCCAATTAAAGTTATGATCTCTGCCGACCCAGGCTTGAACTGCCTAAAACGGCCTGGCTTGACTGCCTTCACTGCCTGAAGGCAGAGGGAAAATAGCTCATGAGCTAAGTATATATATATATACTACATTCTAACTATAAATGTCAATTAGGTGTTTTGCCCTGAATAATTACAGAGTTAAGTAGATATACCCTTTATAGGTGTTAACAAACATGGACAGTGTTTTTATACAAAACAAACAGCACTAAACTTTGGGGGATACTTTNTATCCATGTACCCGCTTAACGTAAAATTTCTTATTTTCGAAAACCTTTTTTTTGTAAATATGAAAATCTATAATTATGATTTTGAAAAGATTGTGACAAAAAGTGGTTTATCTATTTTTGATGGTTTGATAGGCCATTTTGGCGTTTTAGAGCTACAAACTTACTGACAGAAGATTAAACAAGTTAAAATGTATAAAATTACTGCGAAAAATGATAAATACAAAATATTTATAAATCCAGCAAAAAATGTGTTAGATCAGTGCTCAAGCTTTTTACACACTTTTGCCATCAATAAATTAATTATAAGGATTTTCTTTCAACACCAACACGTTCATTTATCAATTTATTTATTTATTTATTTATTTATTTAACAACATTTCATTTATCACATGTTAACCTTTCTCAGTCATACAATCACTATCATTTTTTTAAATCAGTTTTTTCTGATAATTATTGATATTATTATTTTCGAGATAATAATAAATGTAACGTGTTATGAATAATACATCGGCGTAAATTTACTTAAAATTAAAAAGGTTCTATCATTGTACACTTTACCAACTCTTTGTACGGTAACAATTAACTATGTACAATATACACTGTACATCATAAAAATCTACACCGTACAGTTCACAGTACCAATTTGGGAATAAATGTGAAAATTTGTGACAATTTATCAATTCAATATAATTGCTGTGTGCATTATCTATTACGATTATTTTAAGCACCGCACAGTAATTCCATGATTATTATTTGAAATTATTATATTATATACATTGTCTCTCAGTTCAATACAATTATATACTTTATTCTATAGTTAAATATACGTTTCAAGTCTTTCATACAATTCACAGACAAAGCAAGAGAAATATATAAAAATAATTGTATACTCTGAAGATTACTGATCTTTAGAATTTTTTTTAAAATTAAAAAAAGCAATTTAAATTACGGTTTTGTCAACAAAATTGATTTTCCGAATATTCTATTTTTTTAAATTTAAGAATTCGCAAATATATATCTTAACATTTTTCTCATGATTCTCCAGGGAGGGTAAATTTGCAAACTTTTGGCAAATTTGATTTGAAAAGTTTCCCGGATTTAATTAATCATTTTCAATTTAAACCAGAGCTCTATTGGACTATTATAAAATTTGAATATTAGGATACCAATCCTTGCTATCTATCTATCTTTTGTGTTTCTATATATATGTAATAAATATAGTAATAATTCCCATATTTTGAAAACCTGAACCTACCTGTATATATAGTAATAACCCTATTAACATGTCTTGTATATATAACTATGTTTGTTAATCTCTGAACAGAGCTATCGGTCAAATATATATAACTATGTTCGTTAATCTCTGAACAGACCTATCGGTCAAATATATATAACTATGTTCGTTAATCTCTGAACAGACCTATCAGTCAATTATATTTTCCTGTATCATTAAACCCAAAATATAGTTAGTTGAATATGAACTCTGTTTGATTACAGTCAGAGTTAATTCTCGGTAGAGAGCATAGAGTTCGGAAGAGTTGTATCCGGATTGATATAGACTTAAGAATACAGAGAGAGTTGAATCTGGATTGATAAATGCTTTAGAATACAGAGAGAATTGTATCTAGATTGATAAATGCTTTAGAATACAGAGAGAGTTGAATCTGGATTGATAAATGCTTAAGAATACATACCGAGTTATATCTAGATTGATAAATGCTTAAGAATACATACCGAGTTATATCTGCTTAAGAATACATACCGAGTTATATCTAGATTGATAAATGCTTAAGAATACATACCGAGTTATATCTGGATTGATACATACTTAAGAATACATACCGAGTTATATCTAGATTGATAAATGCTTAAGAATACATACCGAGTTAAATCTAGATTGATAAAAGCTTAAGAATACATACCGAGTTATATCTGGATTGATACATACTTAAGAATACAGACAGAGTTTTATCTGGATTGATACATACTTAAGAATACAGAGAGAGTTGTATCTGTATTGATAAATACTTAAGAATACAGAGCGAGTTGTATCTGTTTTGATACATACTTAAGAATACAGAGCTAGTTGTATCTGGATTGATAAATACTTAAGAATACAAAGCGAGTTGTTTCTAGATTGATACACAGACTTTAAGTATTTTTGGAGTAAGGTATATAAATATACACTGAACTTAAACCTGAACCTAAACCTTAACCTTTTATCTGAACCTAACCCAGAACCCCTAAACCTAAACTTAAACCTAAACCTAAACCTAAACCTAAACCTAAACCTAAACCTAAACCTAAACCTAAACCTAAACCTAAACCTAAACCTAAACCTAAACCTAAACCTAAACCTAAACCTAAACCTAAACCTAAACCTAAACCTAAACCTAAACCTAAACCTAAACCTAAACCTAAACCTAAACCTAAACCTAAACCTAAACCTAAACCTAAACCTAAACCTAAACCTAAACCTAAACCTAAACCTAAACCTAAACCTAAACCTAAACCTAAACCTAAACCTAAACCTAAACCTAAACCTAAACCTAAACCTAAACCTAAACCTAAACCTAAACCTAAACCTAAACCTAAACCTAAACCTAAACCTAAACCTAAACCTAAACCTAAACCTAAACCTAAACCTAAACCTAAACCTAAACCTAAACCTAAACCTAAACCTAAACCTAAACCTAAACCTAAACCTAAACCTAAACCTAAACCTAAACCTAAACCTANGTTGTATTGTTATTGTTACAATATAAACAAACAAATAATAATTATTACAACTCTTCCATCCTCCTCCTAATCCTTCATTAGATCTTCTTAATATTAGTTTAAGAGATATATTAATAATCTTAAAGATCTTACATCAAAACAATGATTTTTAAAACAGTTGCATGGATTTTTATTTTTATTTGTGTAGATACTTATTGTTGCGGAAAATAATATTTAACCCCCCCCCCTTAACCTTTCATTTGATATATACCAACTAACCTTTCATTTAATATATACCAACTAACCTTTCATTTAATATATACCAGCTAACCTTTCACAAAAGACTAATTAAAGAGTTCACTAATTACAGTGTAGTATGTTTCCTTACTGGACATTTTACACGCAATCCGAGGATCCCATAAAATCATCGGATATCTACACATTTTCAGACCGTATTCCTCGGATATCTACACATTTTCAGACCGTTTTCCTTGGATATCTACACATTTTTAGACCATATTCCTTGGATATCTACACATTTTCAGACCTTAATCCTCGGATATCTCCATATTTTTATACCTTAATCCTCGGAAATCTACACATTTTCAGAACTTTATCCTCGGATATGTCGTCTTCCTATTCCACAGTTTTATGGACCCCACTGTAAGTTACCCAAGAAGAATGTTGATGAAATATTTGGATTAGTTCATGGTAATATTTCAAATTATAATCTGCTCGGGTTTAAATATATACAGATATAGTCAAATATTTAAATGTCGCTTTTAATCTCTCATCGGCATATTGTTTAATCTCGCCCCATCCAGCCCCCCGTAAACAAAATTTTTTAAAAATTAACCGAAAAACTATTTTTTTTACGCAATAGCTTAGAATAATGATTTTTTTAATGATTTTGAAGACCAATATAAACATTTTTGTTTGTCACTGAATTGTTTGTTCGTTTCTTAGTTGACAATTGAGCAATAGACAATAAGCATGCAGTGAGACCCATAACTATATTTGTTAAATACTATATTATTTCGGGTTGGACATTCCTACCACATCAAACTCAACGAAAAATTAAAATATTTTATATTTTTAATCATAACTCCTCTTATTGAAGGCATACAGAACAGATCAAATAAATTTGATTTTCTAATACTTGGCATACAATCTATACTAGAGGAGCTACGAGGTCACGTGTCCTTTACATTTTACATCCTCCTTCTGTCTATTACTAATCAAAACTTGTTTTTGTAAATTGGACTTGTTGCAACTAATATATGATCTCTAGAAGTATTAAGGTAAACATTTCTAGAAATAGTTCAGTTAAATAATAGGGAAAATGAAGACGGTACAGGGTGTCCCAATAAACATGAGAATTCAGTGACGACTTTTATATCGTCTTCGATCCATGCAGCATTTTTTCATGAACACAATTATTGCAATATTCCAGTTAACATCTAATATCGAAAAGATACAAGAAAGGTAGATCGATTTATGAAAAGTACGTCAGACGTGCAGCCTCGTTTTTTTTACTTTCTTTCCCACGCATTAAATCAAAGAAATCAAAGACGAC